AGTCCTCCCCCGAGGACTGTGATCGACTTGGTAGACTCAGTCCAGGGAGGTCCAGTCCCTTCCTCCCAGACTGACGGGCAGGAGATTTTGAATTAACTTTTTGTCATTAAAATACAGAAACCTTTTACTGTTGTTTACTTTTTTTGTAACTCACACATTTATTTACATAATTTCACATGGGAGCTCAACCCCCAGTCTAAAAAGCCGCGTTGTCACAGGGCATGATGGCAGCTCTGTGCTCCCAGCACTTGGGAGGTAGAGGCAGAGGATTAGGAATTGAAGATGATCCTTAGCTATATAGCAAGTTAGAGATCAATCTGTCAGTCAGTCACTTAATCAATCAATCAAAGCTATGTTCTAAAAGGGAAGAGAAGTTATGTAGATGTATTTGACCACTTTATGCTTTTTCTCACTTCCAATTTCAGCACATTTTCTCTGGATGTTTACATCCAGTTGAGGAATGCATATAAACTACTTTTGGGTTTTTTTTGTTTTTGTATTTATTTATTTCATGTGCGTTGATGTTTTGCCTGTGTGTATGTCTATGTGAGGGTGCTTGATCCTCTGGGACTGGAGTTACAGACCATTGTGAGCTGCCATGTGGGTGCTGGGAACTGAACCCACGTCCTCTGGAAAAGCAACCAATGCTCTTAACCACTGAGCCATTTTTCCAGCCCCCCACTTTTATATTTGGGGAACAGAAAATAACAGAGAAATAGAACTTAAGTTTGATCATCGTAGTGATAGTGGTAGTTTTGATAGTAGTTGACATCTGTAATTGGACAGTTAATACTAGAGTAAATTGGTGTTCCTTCAGAATAATTAATTTTATGAGACAATGTTTATTTTCTTGGGAGTCAGGACCTAGCCATTTTAAGATAATTTTGTAAATCAAAATTATCTTAGTAATTTTGTAAGTAATTTGGTGCCTTAGTAAGGCACCAAACCTGAAGTGAAACAGTTCTGAACATAGGTTACTAAGTTGTTTGTTTTTTTTTAAGTAAGGTGAATTTGGGAGTTTTGAAAACCATTGTTTCATGAGCAGACAAAAGAGAGGCAGCCTAATTTTTTTTAAGCTAGCTATCTTGCCTGACTAATATTAAGGTCACTTTATCTTTTGAGTAGTAATTATAATGAGCAGTGATAAAGTTCAGATCTTAATACATTTTATTCTTTGTACTGAGCCTCAGTTTCCTCTCAGGAAGTGTCAAGTGGGGGATTCCAGAGGTACTCTGAGGAAGGTTCTGAGCGATGCAAACCTTAGGAAGCACCGTGGCAGGGATTCGGCAAGGGCTGGGCACCCGCCTTTCCGCAGCCGGCAGGGCTGGGCTGCGTCTCTCTGTCCCTGTTGTGTGTCCCCGACGTCATCATGAGAATACGTCTGTAATTTAAAGGAACTGTGTATCCCTGGACTAGATAGAAGAAGTGAGGTGTATTTCCCCTAACCTCTGAGGATGCTGTATGAGATGAGTGGAGCCTAAGCTTACTCGGGGTCACTCTAAAGAGAGCTGTTGCCCGTGCTGCTGGCCTCTCCTGTATCTCTGAGAGCCTGTTTCTCTGGGAAATGGAAACCAGAGGCCCCAATATTTACCTTAGTTAGACATCATCAAAATATAGGTGTTTTGCCAGATGTGGTGTCTCACGCCTTTAATCCCAGCACTTGGGAGGCAGAGGCAGGTGGATCTCTGAGTTCGAGGACAGCCAGGGCTACACAGAGAAACTGTGTGAAAAAAAATATGTGTTTTACTCTTGAAATGTGTTTATTGACCTTAATCACTATAATTTTTTATCATGTTTAACATTTTTATTTTCTAGTATAGATGGGCTGCCTGTTTAAATACTCTAATTCTGAAATAGATATTTAAAATGTATTATGTTAATTCATTTACATTCCAAGTCACTTTTTTATACTTAATGACCACCTTTTGTTTAATGAACATTACAGCAAATTGCTTTTAAAAACCTGGTACAGAGAAATCGACAAAACGAACAACAAAACCAGGGCCCTCCAGCTCTGAACTCCACCATTCAGCTGCCATTTATAATCATTAACACAAGCAGGAAAACAGTCATCGATTGCAGCATCTCCAGTGACAAGTGAGTGGGGAACTAGGGGAGGGGACAGGGTTGCCTTCTGTCCACACCCTTCCACTGTCTACAGCCCTGGAAGACTGCCTTCCATGGGGTATGTGAAATGTGAATCAGACGTGGGTGCTGTTTTCAGCAAGAATGAGCTCCGTCATGTACCATTCACTGTCCCTTGCCCCACGTCAAGCTGGCCTGTGACATGTGTGGTGGTACCTGGGCCCAAGCTGTCGCGTGTGACATTTGTGTAGTAACTGAGCGAGCAACTGCAGTGAGACCATCACTGAGGGCCCAGGAGGAAGTTGGCTCATTGGGGAGTCACTGTTTCAGTTTATTATGAAAATATGCCAGACCAGTATGTGACATGAAAGCAGTGTTTCATGTATTATATCACACTTACGAATGCTTCTGTTTGTTATTTATTTGGTTTTTTGTTTGAGAAGGGGTCTTTTGGCCCAGGCTGGCCTCTGACTTACTATGTAGCCAAAGATGGCATTGATTTCAACTTCCTCCAGGACCTCCCACATGCTGTAACACCTGCTGCTTTGGTTGATTCATGAATAAGTGAATTCATGAACAAATGAACCTTAAAATCCTGGGGAGAAGACCGGGGAGATGGCAGTGAGGAGGGTGCTTGGTGTAAAAGCAGAGTCCTGAGTTTGGATCCCCCGCCCATGTAACCCTGGGTGGGCCATGCTTCCCTGTAACCCTAGCTGGGGGCGGGGCGGGGGCATGGGGTCATGCTAACAGTGCGGGGAGTTTGCTGGGGTGCGCTCAGCCAGCCTAGCTCAACCTGAGCGCCAGGTTCAGTGAGAGACCCGGCCTCAAAGAAATTGGAGAGTGATAGAGGAGGACACCAAATGTGTGAACGCGTAAATCAATACATCTTTTAAACAATTTAAATAAAAGGGACACAATTCACTGTAGCAAATGTGAAGTAGCACTTTTCAAAGTAGAGCATTCATTGTAGCTTAGGCTCCTTTCAGGAGGAAGTTAGAGGTGCATAGAGAACCAGAAGGCTTCCAGTTGTGGATTGGAGCTCCTTTACCTGCCTGCTCCATGGAGCTCTGTTTACAGCCTTGTGAGGATAATGCTTTTTAAATATCTGCTTGTTACAGCATTCTATAAGTGCTAGTTGCTGTTCTTAGGGACAAGCAGTTTTCACTCTTTAAATGTCTTAGCCTCTCTGAGATCTCATTCCTTCCTCCACAGAAATAAAAGTTAGGGCCAGCAAAATGGCTCAGTGATAAAGGTATTTGCTGCCGAACCTGATGACCTGATTCTGATCCTCAAACCACACTGGTAGAAGGAGACAACCAACTCTAAAAACGTGTTCACTGACCTCCACACATGTTCCGTAGCACACACACTAAAACAATGTGTAAGAATTCAAGAACTAAGAAATTAAGATCAGTAATTTATTTTGCCAATTTATAAAAACTATAGATACATTTACACAATATCTAGTCCAGTAAAATGTTACATGACAGAGTTATTCACATCCATAGACTGTACAGAAACCTGTGTCTAAGAGGACTGTCAATTATCATAACATAGAAACCTGTGTCTAAGAGGACTATCAGTTATCATAACAGAAACTTGTGTCTAAGAGGACTATCAACATATTATAAGAAGTCTTCACAGTGATTAACATCTTCGGAAGTGACCTATAAATGTCATACTGTAATTACTCTTACAATTAGTCTCTTCTTTTTATGAGGGACTGGAACATTCTCTTCCTAGGTTAAAGGGCTTCCACAGCTGACCATGTAGTACAAACTGTAAACCCAGTTCTTGGAAGTTGAGCAGAAGGGTTGCTATGAGTTGGCCAGCATTGGCCAGCCAGGAGAACTGCATAAGAGAGACCTGCCTAAATAAATAAATTTTAAAGAATTAAAAAATAATGTCAGGAAAATTTGGAACCATTGACCTTAGCAGTTTATGGACACTGTTCACCCAGGCTGATCTGTTTTGGTTCTCTGCCTTGGGTGGTCACTGACTCATGCCTTGCCTGGCATCCCTTCATCGAGCAGCTTGTACACACTTGTTATTTGAGGTAGGTCCGTAATCTTGTCTGTCAGTTACTTTGGTGAAGCAATCTCACCCTTAATTAGCCAGGAGACTTTCCCACAATGAAATTAACTTTATAAAGCTATCTGCATGTAAAAATGCCTGAAATCATCCCTCTGGCAAGTACCCACTTCCAGTTAATTGTAAGCTTGTTAATATACTTTATTCAGACTCAGACTTCAGCTTCATGCTGTAAGTATAAGTTTTGCCCTGGTTTAAGATGTACTGTAAGTCTCAACATCACAAACTTTACCATAACAAGTTAAAACCCACTATTGTTCAGAACCTGCACTAGAACAAACAGTCCAGAAATGAGACCTGTGCAATGGAGGCCTCAGGCCTGGCTAGAAGGACTAAGTTCTGCCTTTCCAGAGTATTTGCTGGGGATCAAGCTTAGGCTGCATCTTGCTGGCCCTTTCTTTGCTTCTGGATGTACTGTGTAGCTAGACGTCTAAACTGACTACTTTTCAAGAACATTCTGATAGGTGCTATGTACTTTGGATGTGGTTCTTTTATTTGTGATAGATTCTCACTCTGTAGACTAGGCTGGACTAGAACCTTTGTAACCTAAGATGGCTTTAAACTCATAGGAATCATCCTGCTGTAACCTTCCAAGTAATGGCATTACAGGCATGAGCCACCATAGCGAGCTCTGTGACACTTGCTTAAGATATTATTCTTAGCTCCTCAAGCTAAGCTGGGTTCACCTTGTTAAAATTGTCTTCCATTTAATTCAAGTATGCTCAGTTCAAGTGCCTGAAGTCCCAACTACCTAAAAGGATCCCTGAGTCCAAGAGTTCAAACCAAACTGTTTAGTGTGGCACAACCTCATCTCCAAACAAAGTTGGAGAAAGCTTTTAGGATTGACTTGAGTATGCTGTGGCTAGCTGTTGACTCAGGGAAACTAATGGAGCATTCACTCTATTTCCTTAAGGCTAACAAGCCAGTCTACTGAAGACCACAATAAGTAAATTAAAGAAGCAAAGCACAGGTTGTAACACCTTCCAGAGCTCCTCTGGGGCACCAAACCCCATACTTCTTCCTTTCTTTTCCTTCATTTTTGTTTGCTTTTTGGGTTGTTTTGTTTTGTTGAGACAGGGTTTCTCTATGTAGCCCTGGCTTGTCCTGGAACTTGCTCTTGTAGACAAGGCTGGACTTGAACACAGAGATCCGCCTGCCTCTGTCTCCTGGATGCTGGGATTAAAAGTATGCACTACCACCACCTGGCCGCCTTTATTTCTTTTTAAAAAAATAATTATTAAATTTGTATATTTAGGGGTGTGTGTGTGTGTGTGTGTGTGTGTGTGAGAGAGAGAGAGAGAGAGAGAGAGAGAGAGAGAGAGAGAGAGAGAGAGAGAGAGAGAGAGAGATATCTGGGGAACTAAACTCAGGTTGTCGGGGTTGGCGTCGGGCACTCACCTGCGGAGCCGTCTCACTTGCCCTCCTCACCCTCGCCTTATTTTGCAGATTTGAATACCTTTTTAATTTTGATAACACCTTTGAGATCCATGATGACATAGAAGTACTGAAGCGGATGGGAATGTCCTTTGGTCTGGAGTTAGGCAGATGCTCTCTGGAAAACCTGAAAATTGCCAAGTCGCTGGTTCCGAAAGCTTTAGAAGGCTATATCACAGGTATGCTGGAGATGCTGCCACACTCCTGATGAGTGTCAGACTCACTTGGTAAACATTCTCGCAGAATCGGTCCTAGCTTCACTGGGTGGAGTTCTCTGATCCTTTATATAATGAACTTGTGACTTTGGTTTTTTCAAAAGTCTGTTTTTTAGAGGATTACAAACTTACCATCTATACAGTATGTATTATACAAAATCATGGCTGACTCATCACTAAGTTTGGGTCCACAATGATGTGTTTTCTCTGTAACTCTTGAGTGTTTAAGTAGAGTCGTATAAAGCTTTTAAGTGAAAAGATTGCTAGAAGTTTGGTTTTGGGTTTTGTTTGTAATTCTCTCTTAGGAGACCTTAGAGTAGTTTACCAAAAAAAAAAAAAGATGATATTTTGTTTGTGTTCTGATAAATAAAGCTTGCCTGGAGATCAGAGGGCAGAGCAGCCACTAGTTAACCATAGAGGCCAGGCAATGATGGCACACGCCTTGAATCCCAGCACTTGGAAGGAAGCAGGAAGATGAGGAGTTAAGGCCACCCTGGGCTACAGGAGACTGAGTCAACCTAAAGAGAAACAGCCAGCCAGTCAGTGGTGGCTCACCCCTTTAATCCCAGCACTCAGGAGTGTAAGGTGGGTGGAGACAGGATCTCCCATTCGGTCTGGTGGCTGGCTGCTCTGCTTCTCTGATCTCCAAACAAGCTTTATTTGTCAGAACACAAACAAAATATTATAAAACATATACCTCACCTCACTTTAATAGAATGCTGTGTTTATCTGTTCAGTAGATCGGAATTCACAGAGCAGAAATGTCTTAATTTTCTGTTGCTGTGATAAAACACCATGACCAAGGCAGTTTGCACCTCACTGACCCCCCCATGCACTGCTCCCTCTGCACCCCCTCAGCTGACCCCCCATGCCCTGCTCCCGCTCCCTCTGCACCCCCTCAGCTGACCCCCCATGC